CTCGATCTAAACAGGGTATTTGTTTATCCCAGAGGAAATATGTACCTGACATGCTTGAGGAAACAATTTTGCTGGGTGGTAGACCAATTGATGTTCCTATGGATCCGAATCATAAATTATTGATGGATGATAGTGCATTGTTTGAGAATTCGGGTCAGTATCGCAGATTGGTTGGAAAGCTTAATTATTTTACTATTACTTGACCGGATATTTCCTATGCATTCAATNATAGTGCATTGTTTGAGAATTCGGGTCAGTATCGCAGATTGGTTGGAAAGCTTAATTATTTTACTATTACTTGACCGGATATTTCCTATGCATTCAATATAGTAAGTCAGTTCATGGGGTGTCCTAGAGTATCACATTGGGAGGCAGTTACTCGTATTCTGCGATATCTCAAACGAACTCCTAGATTTGGACTGTTATATCGAGCTAATAGACATCTTAGAGTGGAAGGTTTCTGAGATGCTGATTGGNTCCTAGACTTGGACTGTTATATCGAGCTAATGGACATCTTAGAGTGGAAGGTTTCTGAGATGCTGATTGGGCTATTGTACTTTCTTAGGAGGTAATGTTGTCTCATGAAAAAGTAAGAAACAACCCGTGGTAGCAAGATCCAGTGCTGAAGCTGAGTATAGGGCAATGAGACATACGACGAGTGAATTGACTTGACTACTACACTTCCTCTAGAAAATTGGGTTTTCAGTTCGACTTTCTTTATAGTTGTTCTGTGACAACCAGACAGCTATCTATATCGCTACCAATCCTGTGTTTCACGAGAGAACCAAACATATTAAGGTTGATTGTCACTTTATTCAGGACAAGGTAGTAACTGGGGAGATTACTACTCCATTTGTGAAATTTGAAGATATGTTTACCAAAGCACTGAATCGTACACGTCTTACAGCTATTTGTTTCAAGTTTGACTTATATGATATATATAGTCCAGCTTGAGCGGGAGTGTTAAAAGTATTAGGGTAGTATGTATAAATTATTAATAGTGTTAGGGTATTATGTGTAATTCTTATTATTGTGAGTTAACTATAAATACAAGTGATGTATGAGAGCTAGGTTAAGTTTTTAACCTCTCTCAGTTTCTCTCTAATATTGTATTAATGCTCTAAACTTAACATGTGTCATGGACACCCTTAAATTCATTATATTTGTAGTCGAATGAAATTGGAGCCTTGTTATCCTTTATTCTACTTTAGGTTCTAGTTAGAACACAAATACTACCACATAGGGGTGGAGTTAGAAAACTGTGATAGAGGGTGCAAATTTTAATGATAGAAAATAAAAAATTGAACCACTAATACAATCCAAAATTTAAATATTGATTAGTAATACTTTTATGCAGTTCATCCACAATTGCTCTAGACTAGTTTTCATATTGTAAAAACATTACATGATAACCCCATTATTAATGCCATAAAAAACTTTTTTTTCATAGTCATAATATAACTAATTTACTGTTCTAATCAATTGTTGCTATTGGATTGATCTCAACCTTAGTTGGGATCCATTGCTAATCAAAGGGTAACAACAGATTAGGTTAGCTAATTATATAAACAAATCAATTCCAAATAGTATCATCATTCTTAATGTATCCCAAGCAAATACTATGAGTGTGGGTGAGCGAGACATAAGGAGGGAGACAACAAATAGCTTTTGGAATATTTCTGGAGAACATATTGGGCAGATTCTACTGATTAAATATTAGTTAAGTTTACCTAATTGAACATTTAGAGATTGAACCCAAATATGAAGAATGATTAAGTGGATTAGTGTGCATGAAAACTTTTTTGATGGGGGCAAGATTGGCATATATATTAAAACATATACAGGAATTTTTTTGCAAAAAAAGAAAGGTTGAGTGGGGGAAACTGCCCCCACTTAGTTGCATGTAGCTCCACAAGTGCTACTTCATTTAGATGAGTACAAAGATGTAAATGTGAATCAATACTCAGTAATTTCTACTTTCGAACTGCTTGGAGTTTTTCAATAAATGTTCACCTTTGATTCGGGTTTTCTCATCAATGAGTCTAAATTACTCTTCGTTTTCACTCTATTCATGTCAGGCTACCATTCTGGCCTCAGATAAAGCTAATATTTGTCTGCTGGCTAGCAATACCTCGATTTAACGGTGCATACTATGTCTACAAAAACCTTGTTCATCTGTGCTTATCTGTGGACCTACAAGCTGTTGTTGAGTGGTTGAATAAGCCTAAGGATGAGGTCTCTCTCAAACCCGAAACCTTCCTAGCTGTGGCTGAGACATATGTTCAAAAGAATGGTACTGAAGCATTGGAGAAACTCATTGCTAGTAAGGTATCTGGCATGCCTTTATATCAGTTAAAATAGGAAGTGGTTTAACTAGAAGTTTAATGGCCTGCCTTGTTCACAAGTTTCTATGATGAATGCTTCAAATCAATACGAACTATGTTTTTTGATGAAAAAATGTTCAGAGCTTTTTCTGTTGATCCTCGTGATATTATCTTGTCATTTATATATATCATACATAATTGGTCAGCCTATGCATGTCATATTTAATCATAGGATCATTTATTCTGAACTTGATATACAAGCATCTAATATATATGACTGTCTACATGGGCATGCACTTGCATTTGTGTCTCCATGGTTAACTTACATGCACTTATATGTATATTCATATTGATTTTTTGGTTTACACTTGAATTTTAAACAATAGGCATGAGATTTTTTGTTTTGGATGCGCATGGGATATGGTTGACAACTCTCTCAGTACTGTTTACTTTTTTTCTTTCACTTCAGTCAAAGGATTCAAATTCCAATCTCATTGTGGAAGAGATCAAGTCAGTTGCAAATGCAGAGGAGAAAGAAGTGGTGACAACAATCCAGGTAATGATTTTAATGTTGCAGCTCCTAGATTCCACAAAACAGTATATGCATATTTTCTGATAGCCAATTGGTTGTTATCTTTTTAGATGGATTTTAGAGACACCCTTAGTTTTAAAATGAAAAAAGCATAGTACTACATTTGCATTGTATGGTGTCGTCCACAGCCATTTCATTTTTAGACATATGATATGAGTAAGTAAATGGACTAAAACCATGTGGTTTCAAGCCACTCTCATCAATGAACGAACGGGCAGTTGTGGAACTGTTACTTTCGAAATCTAGCATCAGTGTCAATGAAAACATCAATTTCGCCTTTGATTTATATTAATCACTGAATTTTGCATTTATAGTTTTAATATTTTATGGACGAGAAAGTGATGACTGATGTCATATATTTTTATGTAGAATTCATTACTTAATATCCTTAATTATCTTATTTACCTTTTTCTCTTTTTTCTGTCAAAGTTCAACGAGCCAAACATTGTTCAGAAAGATGTAAAAACTGTGGAACCAAAAGAAAAAAATGCAGCAGCAGCAGCAGCCGTGAAATCGGTAAGGCCTCTATTAATGGGTATTGGGAAACTAAGTTTCTATTAATGGATACTACAAACGTAACCCCCTATGGTTTTCAACAAAACTCGAACCGTAAGTTAATGGTTAAAGTTCAAAATCAACATTTTTTGCCAAATTAGATGTTAAAATAACTTTTATTGTATTATACATTTTATGTTTCTTATTTTTCTCTAAAAACTAAACCAATCTTTTTATCTTCTCTTCCATTTTATGCATAAAACATGTTTTAAATTTGTGTAAAAAATTCACAAAGAAAAACAATTAAAAAATTAAAAACAAGGTGAACGGTATTACTGTCTTTTTTGTACTAAATTTTTGAACTCCAACGTTGGTTCCTAACCATAGGGTCATGTATGGGTTTTTGAAACACAAGGAGGTTCAGTGTTACTGAGTGAAACCATGGAGACCTAATTTATAATTTGCCATTTCTAAATTAAGCAAAACCAGTGAGCAAACATGGTCATCAACCTTGCTTAGCAACTTCTACAGTTTAATCATGCTAACTCAAATCTATTTCAGACTGAGAAGAAAGCAGTTGCAGTGGTGGAGGTCAAAGAAATGACACAGCCAGCAGCTTGTAAAGAGGACAAGCTTCCGGAGCCACCTGCTCTGAAGAAAGTTCAGAAAGAGTGGACTTGTGCTGTTTGCCAGGTGACAACCACATGTGAGGCAAACTTGAACAGCCACCTTCAAGGGCAGAAACATAGGGCTACGTTGGATGAGTTCAAAGCTAGTAAGCAGGCAGCCAAAAACCGTGGTTCTTCATGTTTGACACCAAACAAATCAGATCAAACCAAAAAGGAGTCAATCAACTGTGTATCTGGGGATAAGCCAAGCAAATATATTCCTCCTTGGAAGCGAAATAAATATAAGACTGCAGAACAAGAGGTAAAAGTGCCGGTGAATAGCAGCAACAGTGAACAATTCAAGCAGAGAAATACTAATACTAGTACTTGTCCCGGGGAGATTGACATGGCTGCTCACCTTAATGGAGGGAAGCACTTGTCCCGGAGTCAAGAGATGCTCAATCCTGTTGGTGGCCAATCAGGATGGGATTACGGTGGTGGCTCATGAGGATGGGATTACGGTGGTGGCTCAGTAGTATATCACTAATGCCAANTCAATCCTGTTGGTGGCCAATCAGGATGGGATTACGGTGGTGGCTCATGAGGATGGGATTACGGTGGTGGCTCAGTAGTATATCACTAATGCCAAAATTTCTGTTGTTTTACAAGTTGGAATGAAAATGGAAAGATTTTTGGATGGATGATGTGCATGACCTAGTGGTGCATTGTAAGCTTTGATATGCACAAGTGAATCTTGAATTTAGTTTTTTCGATAGATAAATTGTCTAAAGATGGAGATATTGGACGATTTAAAAAGTTTCACAAAAAAAAACAGGGTTAAACAAGTCTTTCAAAATCTTTTGGGTGTTTTTTGAAAAGTTGAAAAAATCTGGTTGGAGAGACTTTTTAACTTTTTAGGTGTTTTGTGTCAAAATAAAAAAATTATTATATGTATGTATAGATTATGCATAATAGTTCCCAAAATATGAATATGAAATTTTTCTTAATTCATTAATAATATTTTATGAATTCAATAAACTAAAAAGTTATGTAGGAGCAATGAGAAAATTTTAAAAAAACGAAAAAAAAGTTCATAAAATTACTTTCTTGAATTAATCTAAATAAGTTTTTTTGGGTCTAAAAAACTGTTGGCATAAATTGGTAGAAAAGTCAAAGTCTAAAAAACTTGGTTTATTTTATTTTAAAACCCTTAAAAGTTACCTAACCTAAGTTCAAACAGACCCATTAGTGTATTATGATAAAGTTTTGAATAGTCTATCATCATTTAAGGCTATGCATTTTAATCCCTTTATTTTGATTCTTTCCGTATTTATTATCTAACATTTTCTTGGATGTTAAATCTTTGACTATAAATTCAAGTAGAATTTAATGCATGTGCCTAGATTTTCGAGCAATATACGATGAATAATCTATTAAAAAAATTAAATAGATTTGTTCTATAGAAAATTCGTATGAAAGGAAAATATTCTGTGGTAGGGGTTAAAAGGGGATACAATGGAGTAACTTCGGCACAATTGTGGTCTAATTTTGATTTTTTGAACCGACCCAAATTTCTCTTTATTATTTTTTCGTTTATTTTTTTTTTGATAAGCCACGATATAAGAGATCCGATAATGAAAATTGAACTTTCGACCTGTCACTCAATTTTAGTGAACTTTAACCATCCGTGCAGGGATGGAGTCCAACTAATTAAGCAAACATTTAGGATGGAGCAAATAACTTGTGGCCTTTTTCAAATAATTCTTGGAGGCATTTATGCATGGGTAATTGATGCCAACCCATGTACATTCCTTTCCTTGAACANAAAAGTTGAAAAAATCTGGTTGGAGAGACTTTTTAACTTTTTAGGTGTTTTGTGTCGAAATAAAAAAATTATTATATGTATGTATAGATTATGCATAATAGTTCCCAAAATATGAATATGAAATTTTTCTTACTTCATTAATAATATTTTATGAATTCAATAAACTAAAAAGTTATGTAGGAGCAGTGAGAAAATTCTAAAAAAACGAAAAAAAAGTTCATAAAATTACTTTCTTGAATTAATCTAAAAGTTCATANCGTGCAGGGATGGAGTCCAACTAATTAAGCAAACATTTAGGATGGAGCAAATAACTTGTGGCCTTTTTCAAATAATTCTTGGAGGCATTTATGCATGGGTAATTGATGCCAACCCATGTACATTCCTTTCCTTGAACAAAGTTTTGTATGCCATCTAATATTGGTTCTGGTGGAAGCAAGGGTTTGAGGGATTGTGGATTAAGTCTTCTTTTTATAATTTAATTGTTTGGCCAATATTAGCAATATAAAAGTAAGGCTTTGTTCAATTCAACTCAACTTAACAAATCTTGTCTGTTTTAAATTTTTTTTTTATAAATGTCTCATCCTAAAATTTTAAGAGTTGACATAAAAAAAACAACACTACGATTAGAAAATGTAAAATGTAGAACGACTCGATTGCCCGACAAGAATTGATATGAAATTAGTGAGTCCAAGTTTGACCTTAATGGATTCGGATGATAAATGAACAGACAGTGAGACTCGTCCGTTACACGGGATATGTTTGGGTGAAATATATCAACTTGTTTATACATCATTTAAATAACATACATAAGAATTAGGTATAGAACATNAATTTTTTTTTTATAAATGTCTCATCCTAAAATTTTAAGAGTTGACATAAAAAAAAAAACACTACGATTAGAAAATGTAAAATGTAGAACGACTCGATTACCCGACAAGAATTGATATGAAATTAGTGAGTCCAAGTTTGACCTTAATGGATTCGGATGATAAATGAACACACAGTGAGACTCGTCCGTTACACAGGATATGTTTGGGTGAAATATATCAACTTGTTTATACATCATTTAAATAACATACATAAGAATTAGGTATAGAACATGTTCAATTTTAATTTTAGAAGCTTATATTCCATTCTCAGCCCAACCCATCAGCAGTTATGCACTCTTGGGCCTTAGTTGCCCTAACATTGATGGATATGTTGGATGTTTGAATTTGACGTGTATATAATTGTTATGATAAACACGTCTGTAATTGGTACGGGTGGAATGGCTATCGTGTGGACTCGAAATTGACCCNTTGATGGATATGTTGGATGTTTGAATTTGACGTGTATATAATTGTTATGATAAACAGGTCTGTAATTGTTACGGGTGGAATGGCTATCGTGTGAACTCGAAATTGACCCAAAAGACCTATTTATTCGGGGGTTACATGGGTCGTGCTCATTTTTTTTTTTTTACAATTTTCACCCATGTAATAAATGACCTAAATACGAGTTAAATAATTTTTGATACGAACATATTTAACCCAATACAAACCTTCTTAACCCATACAGGATTGGAATCAAAGAATACCAAACAAAATTAAAATATTCACATGGCTGATGGCTCTAAATTCTCTTCCAACTAACGACAATCTCAAGAGAAGAAAGCTTGGATTGGATGATATGTGTTGCGTTGCGGAAGTGGGAAGGAAAGACTTTTGCATGTTGTGAAAGAATGTGATTGGGCTAAAAAGTCTTGGCCTAGCAGTTCTTTGCTTCAACTTGTGCAGTCTCCATATGCTCGCTTAAAATGGTGGTTGCTGAATTTTTTTTTTTTCTGCTGGTTAAAAGTGGGTGGAGGTAAAGGAGAGTCCAAAGACCATCCAATAGATTTTTATTGGTTGGATAATGAGGCTGATTTGCACAGTGAAAATATAGTGGTTCACCAGTTTGGGAGCTCGGCTAATCCACTCTTCAATGGAATCTCATACTCCTTGAATCTATATTAATGCTCTTATGCGATTTACAGAGTGTTTCTAATACAACTAGAGTTGCTTGCCCTATATTGGAGGCATTGTACAATATTTATAGTCTCATTCCTAATTCTATGGGATCTATGGCGAGATCATCGTCCCCTTCCCGTGGTGTCCTGCTTGATTCTAGGCGACGGTTTAAGGATTTTGTGCCTAAATTGGGGCTTGTTACCATTGGAGGGATGCCTCGTGACTGCCAGCTGTCTTCGATGCATTCTCTTCAGAATACAACTAGAGGGGGTCACAGATCTAGTTTGCCGAGCTCAGGATCTCCTGGCTGAGCTCCCTATCTGACTTTCACACCCGAGCTCATACTTAGAATTTCTTCTAGGTATCATCAGTTGCCCCCCAGTCCCAGGTCAAAGTGGGCTTGATCAGGGGTTGAGCTAAGGCTGGGGGTAGACTTTCATACGACGACCTCAATTTATGTGTGAAGAGGTTTTTCTGACGATTTTGTGTAATCATTCCTTCCTCAATTTTCATGCACATTTCCCACTTCGAAAACCCACGTACCACAAGCTTTAATGCTTCTGAGAAGATGGAGGCTGCCTTACTTCTCCTTTCGATTTCTCTCTCTAGGCTTTTGATTTCTCTCTCTAGGCTTTTCCTTTTTTCTTCTTGGAGATTCTAGCTTCCCGAACCAGCTGGCGTTCTTAGGGTTTCACAGAATCCCCTAATTTNTCTGACGATTTTGTGTAATCATTCCTTCCTCAATTTTCATGCACATTTCCCACTTCAAAAACCCACGTACCACAAGCTTTAATGCTTCAGAGAAGATGGAGGCTGCCTTACTTCTCCTTTCGATTTCTCTCTCTAGGCTTTTCCTTTTTTCTTCCTGGAGATTCTAGCTTCCCGAACCAGCTGGCGTTCTTAGGGTTTCACAGAATCCCCTAATTTGATTTGAAGGCTTTGCGAAACTTGCTCTTTTGACTTTGCCCTGAGCTTTGGTCCACCGTTTATCCTTGCCTAGGTATGCTTCTTGTCTTTTGTTCATTTCTCCGTTCTGGATCCCTCAAATCCGAGGTGGTTGCTACATTTTTGGGCTTTTCACTTCTGTTACTTTAGGAATCGAGACCACTCATTGTCCTCTCTTCTGCTTTCTTAGACCCTTACTGTACTGCTAGAGTTTTCCTTATTGGTCGCTGGTGTCTTGATCCCTCAACTCTCAGAGACTGTTTTGCAGAAATCCCTCCTCTATACATATATTTCAGGCTCCCTTTCTCTTGCCCCACCATGTCTGCATCTTCCGAAGCAACATGCTCATCTATTTCCCTTTTGGGCAACAGGTCTACTGAAGATGTCGATCTGAGTGGGTGAGGAGATAGATAATTTCCCAGGCGTCAATTCTATGGACATCGAGGAAAACGCTGGGAATCCTCCTTCGTCACCCTCTCCTACGCCCAAAAAATTCAATAAAGGTAAGACCAAAGTAAATGGTGTAGAGATCTCTGGCAGCGCTGAAGGTGTTGAGATCGTCTTCAGAGCTTCTGACCTCGTAGGTTGCAACAAGGTTACACCTCCTTATATGGGGGTGTTATTTGTCCGCTTCAGTTTTCTTTGGGGTGTGAGGTACTGGTGCCCAGACTAGGACATCCGGTATGATACCCTCATTCTTAAGAAGACCTGTTTCTTCGTGGCTTCTTTCAAGAATGACCTTCGCTTTCC